CCCAAAAAAAAGAATCTCTTGGACTTTCCTGCCCAGGCTGGCTTTGAACCTCGATAGTCAGCCTTCTGAGTAGCTAGGATTACAACTACAGGCACCTGGAAAGATTTTATTTTTTAATTATTCAGACTGAGAAAGACCAATGAGCTTTTAATTTCTAGTTTTCTTGTACATATTGCTGGAGTATTGTAAATAATGTGTGTATGTTATATTCAATAGAAAAGGTGATTGCTTTTACCTGCAATTTACATTTTGAGAGCTGTAGTAACAGTTCTCACAAAAACTGGTGTTTCTGTGAGGGATGCTCCTTGGACTAACCTGAACTGTCTGTGAGGTCCGGGCACCGCAGGAGGCTGATTAAGCAGAGCTGGTTCCATGACTTAGTATCACCACAACTACATTGTATTCTTTTGTTGTTTTTGCTTTGTTTTGTTTTTAATATATTTTTATTATAAAAATACTGTACAGAGTGGTAATAGTTACATCAGTAAGGTAATAAGCACATTTCCTATGGAGCATTGTTACCCCTCCTTTGTTTTTCCCCTACCATCCCTGCCCTTCCCACCACCCCAACTCCACCACCCCCTCACAAACTTGTAAAGTTTGTTTTCAACATAGTATCTTGTACATCTCATTGTTACAATCGGTCAACCTATATCCTTATTTCAGTAATTTGTTGTTTCCCTTCCCCTCCCCAAGTTAGAAAAATGTATATGCAAGATGCAGGGCACTGGAATCAAATACAGTGAAAACAGAGGTTATACCATGGGGGAAGAATATACAAAAGAAACAAAAAAAATAGTACATTATAAGTACATTAAAACAACAGCAACAAAGATAAAACCTCTTGTGTCCCTATCTTGGGGTTCGTTTCACTTACCATCATCTTATATGATCATATGTACTTAGCTTTTGATCTTTTTTTTTCATTCTTTTTTTGTTTTACATTTTTTATTGTGAAAATACCGTACTCTTCTTTGCTTCTCTCAGGAAAAGGAAAAATCAACAAGGGTAAATTCTTGGAAGGAACTGAAACTGATACATACATGCCACAAAGTCCTGATTCCAAAACAGTACCCTGAACAAATAAGAACTAAGCAAATAATGATGAAAAGAAACGACTTATAATTCCATCCGCATCACTCCTGCTCCTCAGCCCCTTCACCGTGTCTGTCCTTTGGGTGTCTTGCTGGCACATCCAGTGGTTCCTGGAGCTGCTCAGCCCTGTGACTTGCCTTCCACCGGGCATGAAAGCTCCGGACTGGGCAGTGACTCCTGCTTCATGACACGGTGCCCTGGCTTTGCACAGCCCTGGGCATGTGGTAGATCCCCTGTGGGGATGGAAATGTGCTTAATGCTGGTCCTGTCCAACCATTGAATGAATGCTTCCTGATTCCTTAAGACTAGCTACTGAGTTCCATATTTTTTGGTAGATCTATATCCATGTAAATTATTCTTCAGCGAAGTTGTTTTTTGTCAGTTACATTAAACTTACTTTTTAAAAATTGATACATGAGAATATAAAACTCATACATATTAATGGGGGGATCACATGGTGGTACAGTATACAGTATGGACAGTTTAAATGAGTGTAAACACACCTGTCTTCTACAACAGTCATCATTTTTAATGTGTGTCAGTTGTACAAAGGGTTTTTGCTCTGATTTCCTATCTATACATATCACATGTGCTTTGCCTAATTGCACTTGTTTCTATTATTCTTTCTGTCATTTCTTAATGGTGAAAGCCTTCAGAATCCTTTCTTCTAGTATTTTTGGTTCCCATAGTTGGTTTTCAAATTCTTAACTATACATACCCTCCACCCTGAGATTTAAAATGCTATTTTGTCAGTTGTTCCTCAGATGCTATCACAAAGTACTGGAGGCTAGATTTGTACAAACCTTGCAGTTTGGGAAGTTAGAAATCCAAAAATGCTCCCCCACATCCCTCATCCAGCTAACCTCTGCTGATGTCCTGGCAGTATTCAACAGAGGAGAGATCACACCACCAATTAGGACTGGAAGCCAGAAAGGAGGAAGGACTGACTCCTCTGTAACAGTTCACTCTTGCAGGAGCTAGCTGGGGTCCTACACACTACCTGAATCTCCTTGAGATCATGCTGCCACTTGTCAGACCACCTCCCTCTAAAGGTTCTCCGGCATCAACACCCGTGGCAGGAATGGGCTCTTCATCCCACGTTGTCTGTATCTGCACAATGGGATACTCTAGTCATAGAGCAACAGGGGTGGAATAACACAGAATAGAGCCAGCCTCGCCTGTGGTGAGCAGAGGGGCAGATGAAGGAAGAGTCACATCCAGAGGGCCCAGGTTTTGAGGCTCTCTTGGAGGGTACGTTTGCCCTGTGTTGCTGGCTCTCTTGATGGATGGAGCTCAGATTGGAGGGAAGGCTGTCTCTGGGGTCCCCAAGTCTTCTGTAATGCAGAAGGGAAGCCTGGGCTAGAGCAGAGGGCTACAGAACGACAGGGGAACCTTAGAAACAAAACCAGGAAGACGAAAGAACTCTCAGTGATTCTAGAAGACTCAACACATCCAGAGGCATTCAGGCATTTCCAGGAGACACGGTGTTCCCCAGGATTATTAGCCTCTCTGGACATTTCCAGATGAGCAGAGTTTATTCTGTGTTCCAGGGGTTCAGAGGAGGAAAAGAGCAAACCGAGCATCTAAGGTAAACTGGGCAGCAAGAAGATTGAAGAGCTTGGAGCTGAGGACCAGCTCCTGGGGAAACAGCCCTGCATGGTGCTGGGGTAAGAGGCATTCCAGGCTTGGTTCTTGGGTGTGTGTGTGGCTCAGTCACAGAGCTTGTGCTAGCAGGGTATGAAGTTGGTTTATCATTCTGTTGTCGCTGCCTTGAAGTCCTTACTCAGTCTGGGGTAAGAGGCACTCTGCTTCCCACTGTGTTCTGAGGATTGTGAGGTAGAGCATGCTCGGCATGTGGAGAGGTCAAGGAAGAGATGGAGCTGAGGCCACCGCTCCTGCTGCAGACAGAGATGCCTGGTGTGTCCTTGAGCGCGTGGGCTCATCCTCCCCCTGCTGTCATAAAACAGAACTAGAAATTGGCAAAAGCGTGAAAATCAGCCTGGATTAGGAGGGAGATTTGATGTATCAAAGAAACTGCTTCTCAGCGAGCATTAGCGTTCCTGTATAACAATACCATTGTAAGATGATCATCACTGGGATGTTCACCCATCCTAATCTTTTCAGACAAGTGTGATTAGAAGGTATTTATCACTGTCAAATTATTATTCATGATCCTCTGCAAGGTGAATCTCCAAGTTACCTCACTGGCAAAGGGCTGATCTCAGAATGCTTTGTTGGTGACAGACACTATACCTGCACCTGAGGTGTCTGGGTTGTAGATGTGGAATAGTGGGGTGCAGGTTGGGGACGCCTTGACAGACACTGGGCAGGGAGGTTGCATTGCTACTGAGTGTGCAGTGAGAGATATCCAAGAGATGAACAGAGTGGGAAAGAAATTGCATGTGTATAAACCTCAGAAAGTCAACTGGATCCAGGTAGCACAGTGTACATACAATTTGCCGAAACTTCATCATTTGGTCCTTACCTTCTTTCCCATAGTTTGCTAAACAAACTCCTTTCCGCACTGAATTGTTTCACATCATTTTCCAAAGTTGTCCATCGACCTGGTTCCATTCCATCCTCAACTAAGTTTTCTTGGTTCATTTGACTTCATATCAAGAACACATTGTATTGATACCATTACTTGACAGTCTAGAATCTAGGCAATTTTATTCTAACAACTTTACTTTTCATGAAAACATTTTTTCAGGCTATCCTATGCATTTGCTTATGAATTTTAGATTCAGCTTTTCAATTTCTGCAGAAACACCTGAGACAACTTTTGTTGCATTTGACTTGCAGATTATCTTGGAATGAATTGGTGACAATATTTTGCCTCTTTCTGGAGAATGCAATCTATGTTATCATTTTTTAATTTAAAAGTTATCACACCGATGTTTTTCTATTATTACTGTTCAGGCTTTAGGTATTCTTCTCAGATATTTTTAAATACCCCTAGATATTTAAACAATTAGATGCTACTCCATATTTAAAAATATTTTCCAAACATTTGCTAGTAGGGTGTAGAACACCTTTGATTTTGGCCCATTGGCTCTCTTTTTAAAACTTTGCTCTATTTCATGGTTAGTTTCAATCACTTTTTATATATTTTATTGCATTTTCTGTGTAGATGATTGTGTTGTAGATGAATGAGGCAGTTGTAGTTCTTTCTTCTCAAAGTAGATAACTTCTATGTTTGTTTCATTCATTATTGCATTGGTTAGGATGTCCAACAAAATTATAAAGAGCAGTGACACAAATGAACATTTCACATGCCTGCCTCCTCCTTAACTTCGGGCCAAGCATACATAATTTCATGAGGAAAATTCTTAGGTTTTATTTCCTTATCCAATCTAGCAATCCTTTTTATAAAAATTGTGTCATTTAGAATGTTGACATTTATTTTCATAATTATTTGTGTGCTTGGGTTGAAATCTAATTGGTCTGATTAGTAAATGGTAATCAGAGAACATTTAACAAAACAAAGAATTCTTTGAAGGATACAGGAGACAGTAAACCAAATTTAGACATAAAATATTTATCTGGGGGCTGGAATGTGGCTTAATGGTAGAGTGCTTGCCTACCATGCCTGAAGCCCTGGGTTTGATTCCTCCGTACCACATAAACAGAAAGAGTTGGAAGTGGCTCTGTGGCTCTTGAGCCCAAGAAGCTTAGGGACAGTGCCCGGGCCCTGAGTTCAAGCCCCAGGACTGGCAAAAAAAAATTATTTTAGTTTGGGAATAATAAGTTCCTGGATAATTTGACTTAGCAGGTTATAGAATATCCATAAAATGTGAAATCATGAGCACATTAGAGACATTTTAGTTTCATCAGTTAACTTGCAACATCATAATGGACTTCAGGATGACTCGACCATCGTACACAACACATGTAAGATTACATGTATGAAAGCTACTGTAAGAATGGTTAAAAGACAAAGTTCAAAATATTTGCAGGTCTTGTCCATCTTGGATACAATAAAATTCTAAAACTCTTGTGTTTTTTCCACTAACTGTCAACACAAACTAGAAAAATAAATCACAGTTCCAAAATCTGCGTTTCAGAAAAAGAGTTATTACAAGGCAGGCACTGGTGACTCAGACCTGTAATCCTAGCTACTCAGGAGTCTGAGAGCTGAGGATCGCTATTGGGAGCCAACCCAGGCAGGAATGTCTTTGATACCCTTATCTCTAATTAACTACCAAGAAAAAGAAAATTGGGAAGTGGAGTTGTGATCAAGTGGTAGAGCACTAGCTAGCCTTGAGCAACAACAAAAAAAAAACTTAAGAGACAGCACCCAGGCCCTGAGTTTAAGCCCAGGACTAGAACAATTTAAAAAAATTATTATGTTTCTAGTTTTTCTAATGCTTCAATATTTTTTCTAATAATCTTAGCTTTAACTGGAAAGAACTTGGTCAGTGACATGATAACTTTAAATTTCTTCCTTCCTATTATTTTTCTTATTACTGTTCATTGTCCAAACTTCTCCAGTCAGAATGACCTCAGCTCCATTTCTTTAGCTTGGCTGAGGAGTGAGTAAGTTCTTTCCCAGTTTGGCTTCGCCTCTTTTCTTCTACAGCTGAGCACTGGAGTTTCTGTCTATGAAAACCGTGGATAGATCACATCACAGACAGTTACATTTCATGCTTCTTCTCCCTTCTTTCAGTGTGCTCGTTATGACAATGCCTTCATCGCAGAGATCCTGATTGAGAAGGGGGTCAATGTCAACCACCAGGATGAAGACTTTTGGACGCCGATGCACATTGCCTGTGCATGTGATAACCCAGACATTGTGCTGCTGCTTCTATTGGTGAGTAAATCCAGGCAGTTTATCTACCATTTGATGACTTGATTATACTATAAGAGGCAGTATATTTAACTCATAACATTCCGCACTATATAATGTTGCATTTGAGGAAATCATATGTCTAGGTCATCATTTATATACTTAGAACACCACGCCATTACTAAAGTTTTAGGTCTCAAAAATTCTGAAATAAATGGAATGGATGCTGTCTCAAGCTTTATTCTTTTTTGCCTTTTCTTGGGAATTATATCTTGAGATAAGTCAGTATTAAATGAAATAGCTGGATAATTTTATTGTTTACTCCACTGCCTCAAATTTTGCTTAATTGGTGTGCGAATGTCAGATGTGGCTTTCATTGAATCTTATTTCCTTAGTTATATCTTGTAAAGAAGAATAAATGATATTTGTTCATTTGAAAATGAAAAGCTCATAAATATCACTGAAATTTGTTGTTGTTTTCGGTTAGACCATGGCCCCGAGGCTTTAAACACTTAGTGTTGGAATTGAGACAGTACTTTTTCTAAATATAATTTAAGAAATCATGAAGGAGGTTTTGCAAATGCTCAAGAATATAAGAACAAGAATTATTTTGTTTGTTCTCTTTATTAATGTTATTAACGATTTCCTGATTTTTTATACATTGGTTATATAAGCTCTCAACATCTTACACACAGGGAAATGGATGTTTATGTATATTAAGTACCTTACCCTTAAATAGCAAGCCCTTAATCTGAACTAAAGTTTCCTGTCTGGAGTCCATTCTCCTTCTACTCAGCCACATGATGTATGTCCAGTGCCAGTATACAACCCACCTCCTGTCTTGAGGCTGAACAGCAAAAAATGTATTTTCTCCCAGTCCTGCAGAATGATACATGAAATCAGAGTGGTATCATGGCCTTCAGGCTCCATGAGAAAATTCTGCCTTCCTTGGCTGTTTCTCATGTCCTGGCTTATAGATGCATCCCTCTATTTCTACCTCTGTTACCATGTTGCCTTCTTGTACGTCTCCATGCCCAAACTCCTGTTTTTCTTTTTGTTAGGGTGATGTCATACATTGCACGTATGACCTCATACTTGATTATGCCTGCCAGGACCTAAATTCTACACAAGGCCATATTCATTCATATTGGCTTTTAATACATGGAACATACTTTGTAGGAGAAGCAATTAAATGTACTATATTACTCCTTCTGTCTTCACTTTAAAAGTTATGAGTGAAAATATTTTGGGGATTGAGATTTCTTTAATCTTGTAAGAGGTTTAAGTTTTTTTCTATTTTTCTCTAAATTGTCCCTCATGAATATGTATTCTTTGTAAAAGTAGGGATAAATGTCACTGGAAACATTTTTCTTTCAAGTCTAGAATATGGAGGCTCTATTAAATTAATAATACATGACAAAAGAAAGGATTATGTTTTTAAATTAGAAACTGTTGGAAGACTAGTATTTTACGTGAGAAAACGTGAGAAGCTACTTGTCTCATTTATAAGAACAAACGCTGTTTGTTAAAATAGAACCTAAGAAGAGCCAAATTGCCAGCACAAATGCTATGGATTAGCTTGGCACAAAGTATAATTGAAAATGCATCCCAGAATATGCTGGGTTACCTGGGAGTAATGCTGAACAGGGGTTGACCTAGCAGTCTCTGGAAAGCTGGGACCTCAAAGAGCACCAGGCCTCACTATGTCTGCAGTGAGTTCCACACGTTTTTTTGGGTAGTACAATCACGAGATACCCAAGGTGAAATAATTGCTTCAGTGATAAGATGCTCCGATGAAAACTTCAGTTTGTGACTTTGTAGTTTTCCTATGTTCTTGTTATTTTTTTTCTAAATATTGGTTGGAAATTGAAAGTTTTTCAAAGCCTATTTTGAATTGTTTTCCCTATTGAACTGTTGTTAATCACATTACTCCTTTTGCCAAGAGTCTCTTCATTTATTTCTGCCTGAAGAGTGGCCAGGTCTGGTTTGAAGAGCCCTTATACATGCAGCTGGGCTTGAACATTTTTAATAGTCCTTCCCCTTCCTCGATGCTCTTTATCAGCCAAAACCTCACCTGGCTGAATTCACACATCTTTCTCCATCCTTAGTTCTACTTATAGCCAAGAACCCCTTCCTTATTCTAGAATGTCTTAGTTTGTTTATCATTAGTATATGCTAACTGTACTCAGGCATTTAATTATGGCAGTCCCATTCATGCATGTAACATATGATTTATGATAGAACCAGGAAAAATATCTTCTTTACATGGTCTTCACTGGATTCAGTCCAGAATCCTCATTTCATGTATTGTACAGGTTTTCACCTATTCAGCCTATTTGTTTACAAATACTCCTTTCAGCACAAAAATTGTCCCATGGTCTCTTACTGGTTTTTGTTAAGAGAAAAAGCTGAGAGATAGAAATGGTATTTCCTGTGTGGTCATAGAGTTAAATCTATACTTTTCAATGTATTGAAACCATTTTCATGGAAAGTCATGAAAATGCTCTGTTTCTTACACTGTAGAATAATTCAACCTAATGCACCATGTTATCTATCCACCAGTCACTTTTACTCTATAATTTATTTACCAGATGACAAGAATTCACAATTCATTCCTTTCATGTAGTACATATTTATTGAATGATTACAGTGTTCTAGATACTACACAGCAAGTAGGAAGACATCTTCCATTCTAGAGTACTAGCATAAATCAGTCATGTAAGTAGTAAACTTGCTGCCTGGCGGAATTCGCTAATTGGACTGAGCTGGTCTGGGTAACTTTATTCACAAAACTCTACAAGAAGCCAGAATATGTATCACAGAAACAACTGACTTTCAAATAACTGTTGATGAGGTAGGTTATCATAAAACCTCAAGTTGCTACAAAAATATCTCCCTGCCAGCGACCACAAAAGAGAGTTCATTTTATTTACAGAATTAAATGCCATATCTAGGATTCTTGTTCCCAAATCCTGTTGGTGGGTTAGAGAGAACCCAGTAGACTTGTGATTTCCTTCTGTTCTTACTGAATGGGGTCAGCAATGCACAGAGGAAGCAAGTGTCTCAGGTTTGGGGGACTTCGATTTTCCTGGTCAGAGACAGGGAACAACTAATAAATTAGGCTTGGTATTGGATTTAAGGATGAGAGAAAGAGAAAGACACAGGTGAATTTCTTTTCCTTTTTAAAAAATGTAAATGTGGGCTGGGAAGGTGGCTCAGTGGTAGAGCACTTGCCTTGCATGCATGAGTCCCTGGGTTCAATTCCTCAGCACCGCATAAGCAGAAAAAGCCGGAAGTGGTGTGGTAGTTCAAGTGGTAGAGTGTTAGCCTTGAGCTAAAGAGCTGAGGGACAGCGCCCAGGCCCAGAGTTCAGGCCCCACAACTGGCAAAAAAAAAAAAAAGTAAATGTTCTTGTGAAGGTGATGTACAGAGGGGTTACAGTTACATAAGTCAGGTAAGGAATACATTTCCTTTTGAATAGTGTCACCCCCTCCCGCATTCTCTCACAGTGTTTCCCGTCCTTACTTCCCTCCCAACTTTCCGACACAGCCGTCTAGTGTGTGTTTCACTGTTGAATTGGTTTACCCTTTGTCTCGCTGTTTCTGCACAGATGAATGTCTTACCTTTGGTCTGAATATCTAGAAGTCTAGTTTGTAACTTTTGTTTGCCTTTGGAGACAAAGGAGGGGGTGTAAGAGGTCTGAGTTCAAAACATTTACTTTAAAGGAAAAATTTAAATTACGTAGATCATCTACATTGATTCTTGTTTGGGGGCAGATGATACTTGTGTTAGTGATTATCTTCTTAAACATTTTCTAATGGAAATCTTTTGGGAGGAAGTGGCTGGTATCTGTTATATCCTGGAATCATTTAACAAATTCTACTGTGAGAAATGGCTACTCTGCATCATTTATGGAAATTGATATATTGGCATTTTTGTACAAAACCAAGTATCCTCTGTCCAAGTGAACCAGTAATCAGAATTCAATCAGCAATTTACTCAAAGGAACTGAAACTGACATACGCACTGAGTTCAATTCCCAGCTCTACAAAGGAAACCACACTCAGTCAAATATATTTATACAGCTGTTTTCATGATTGTCACACATTAGAAGCAAGAAAGGTATTCTCCGTAAGCAAGTAGACACAGACATTATTAGTCATACACATAATGGGTAAGATAGAGTAGTAAACAAAGGAGGGAGCTAACAAACCATGAGAAGACCTGGTTGAGTCTTAAGTGCACATTGCTAGCCAAGAGGAGGAATTCAGATTGAAATGGCTTCCATAAGAGAAGTTATCCATACAGTAAAAACAATACAAAGCAAAAACCAATGTTAGTAGGGTTTTGGTGATGGAGAAGAGGATGAGCAGGTTGACTGGTGGGGAGGGTCTAAAAGAAGGGGGAAATTGAGAGATGGGTGGCTCACACCTGCAATAGCTACTTAGGAGGGAGACTGAGATTGGGAGATCACATTTTGAGGTTGCCCTGAGAAGAAATGTTCATGAGATCTACTTATAGCCCGTAACAGTGTTGAACACTCTTCATGCAGGCTAGGCAGGAGTATGAGATTGTGAGGAATGTGGTTCTAGGCTAGAACACACCTCACTCCACAGAGGACAACAGAGCTCAGTGGTATGAACTTCATCCCAGGAATGATGGTAGACCTAAAATAGGCAGATCACAGTCCAAGCAAGGATTATCCTAACAGCCGCCCGTAGAAACCCTTGTACCAGTGTGAGAGAAAAAGAGAGTGAGAGATAGAGTTTGTCAACAGGTACAAAGCCAACTACAGTGCTCCCACCTGATGGTCCAAGCTGGAGCGATGTGAGAAGCAGTAGAGTGCTGGATTACTTTCAAGATACAGAAGACATGTCTACAATCTCACATTTACACCAACAAATGGGTAAGAACACATGACTGATCCTGCAGAAGAACCCCACACCCCACATCATTGCTGTCACTGTTCTTCTCTGAAAGAACAGGAGGATGTCTCTTTACTGCTAATTTTGCATCATGCTCAC